CGACTGCATCTACCTCTTCGACTTATGCTACTTCTGCACTTTCGTCTACGTCATTTTCGTCCTCAGTTTCTGCTGGCATGCATACTTCTGCAGCTGATTGGAAAAGTGTAGAGAACAACAAAAAACGCAAACATTTGATTATTACTGGTAATAGCTCTAATTCTGATTTGGAAGTGGTTGAAGTAAAGAAATGGTTTCACTTATCGTCGTTCCTTCCCACTGTAACCGCGGACAATATAATTGACTATGTTGTTAGGCATGCTGGTATAGATAAGAAATTTATTTCATGTTATTCATTAGTTAAAAAACAAACTCCGGCTGTGAATGTAAAGCGGGTTAATTTTAAGTTAGGTGTATATGTTGCGCTTTACAATAAGGTGCTATCACCTGATATCTGGCCTGCCAATGTAAGTCTGCGCCCTTTTCGTTTTTTTCGAAAAGAAGAGAATCAGCAGCGAGTAATATAAATAATAATAAGGCTACTAGTGGAAGTTCGAATTTGAAGGTGTATTTTCAGAATATATCTGGCCTTCGAACTAAGTCAGAAGATGTTCGTATATTTAGCTCTCAATTGGATTATGATATCTTCGTCATTGTTGAGACGTGGTTACATCCGAATTTTCTTGATGATGAATTTTTTGATTCGAAACTGTTCAATGTTTATCGAAAAGATAGAGATCCGGTAAAAACTGGCTGTGTAAGAGGTGGAGGAGTTCTTGTTGCAGTTCAACGGAAGCTGCTTTCTTATTTTGTTGCTCTTGATAATAATGACTCACTTATTGATCAAATTTGTATATGTGTCAGTGGTTCCTCCTCCAAGGACTCTCTTTTCTTTTTGGTCTCTTATATTCCCCCAAATAGTAATGATTATCTTTATAGTGCGCACGCTGATAACATAAGCTCTTTAGTCCTGAATAAATTAGGTAATAATCATTTATGCATTTTAGGTGACTTCAATTTATCCAATATTTCATGGTCCGCTTCATTTTCTAATTTTGGCCTCACACCAACTAATGTTACAGCATATCATGAATCATATTTGCTTGATAGTTTATTAAGTTTCAATTTAGTGCAAATTAATAATTTTGTTAATAAATTGGATCGTATTCTTGATCTTATCTTTATTAGCGACAATATTAACTGTAAAATCGAGGAATGTTACTTTCCTATCTCTCGTTGTGATAAGCATCATGTGCCTTTAGTTCTCAATTTTCAGTTTTATAATTTTTTTACTATACCTTCTGCAGAAGTACTCAGCTTTAACTATTCTGCTTGTAATTTTTCAGAATTAAATAGTTTACTATCTGATA